AGTTCAAACCCAAATACCACCACTGAAGAAACAATGTCTTCCCTAACTCAAAAGCAAAATATTGTCTAGTACAGTACATATAGACCAACTGGATAAAATTAGTAATTACAATAAATTCAGCATTTATAGCACACAAAGGATTTTCACATTATTTTATTTCATCATCACAAGTCACAGAAGGAATTCCATATCATTAGACCATGCTAATAGAGAATGATGAAGAGGTGGGTTTACATAACAGATTTGGGGGTTCATGGGTCCAAGTAATCATAACATTCAGTTGACATTGGGGGAACAACATAAGAAAGCGGGTTGAGGACTCCAGTGCCTGTTTAAGGTGTTAAGCATGTATCATTGAGAAAGTGTCTGAATGTTTTCATTTGTTTTGATATTCTAATGTTCCCATTTCCATTCTTTATGGCCTCTAGGAGCAGAATGGTATCAAGAAGAGTATTTTTTTTAACTGTAAAGGTGATGTACACAGGGGTTACAGTTACATAAATGAGGTAATAAGTATTTTCTTTTTGAACAGTGTCACCTCTTCCCTTGTTTTTCTCTCTTGACCCCTTATTGGGAGAGAAACTATACACAAACTGTATAGTTCATTTTCAACATAATGTCTAGTGAGTATCACTATTGTCAAGGTGATGTTCAGAGGGGAATTTATCCCACCATTTCTGTGCTTCCCCTTACCCTCTCCCAAACAGATAAACTTACATGGTGAAAGTGAAAAATTACACTTGGACATGATAAATTATACAAGACTCTAAACATTTACACAGTGAGACCAAAGGAGGATATTCTTAGGAAAGGCTCACAAAGGCTCATAGCTATGTTCATATGATCATATAAGAAGAGAATTTATATGCTAAAAGGGGCTCTTCTTATTTGGCCAGAACCTTAGCAATGAGGAAATGGCTCCTGTGGAGCTGGATAAGTCCTAAGCTGCCTTAACACGATGCTGCTCTACTCCAGGTGTGAAAATATTATGACCTGCCACATAATATGATCTGTAATATAATTTTAACTGTACTTTGCCTTATCAGATCCCACCTAGAGTTCATTGATCATTTCTGGCTTTAAATCTTGTCATTGACAAACTGACAGACATCAGAAAAAGACAAGCAGGATGGTAAGAACCCTTATAAATGTTAAAAAAAAAAAAAAAAGTTACAGAGTGTTTAGTGCCCAGTTTTCTAAGGCCTTGTGTATGTTTTTCTTCCATGTTCCTGCCCACAAATCAGGGAGAAAGCTGATGGGCTGGATTACCAGGTTGCTAAACAAGTGAATTTGCTTTAGAAATTACTAATTAGAATAAAATTACAAGAAAATGAATGGCAGCAACTCCACAAAGGATAATAAAAGCCATAAACTGTTGTAGGCATTTAACACCAAGGGCAAATCAAGTGAAACCTAGATGGCCATCTGTCAGAGATTTACAGTCATTATTAGCATGTATTAAATGATAGTTCCCAAGTGCCATGAAGGAGTCAAAAGTGAATAAATACTGCTCTCTAGAATGGTGCAAGGTAAGAAAGGCTGCTATGTATACTGACATATACTTCAACAGAAGCACACAGTACTCTGGGTTGGAAAAATGATTAAGAATTTGTCAGGAGGAGCCTGGGCAGAAGTATGGTCCAGACCAAAGGGATATACATAAAGTGATTGGGTCTCACCAGCAGTAGTTGTCACTATGGAAGAGATTCTTTCTTTGGATATGAAAATAAATGGCTCGAGTCCTTTTGAAACTCAGGTTGTATTTCAGAAATCCTATTTCTGTTAACTCTTGGGGAGATCCAGATGAGGCTGCTTTAAATAAGGTTGAGTTCAGTTTTCTGCAAGGGGTCTATTAAAACATGACAGAAGATGGGGGCTTTGCAGTATTTGTAAGATACACTGTAGTCTTAGAACTCATTTGCTTAACCAATTCTGAAATCTAAAAATAGGTTTGAAAAATAAGGGAGTATTAGTTTGCAAAAGAGAGTCCAACTTTACCTCAAATGTTTAAATTCTTTTTCTTTTTTTTTTTTTTGGTCTGGTTGTGGGGCCTGAACTCTGGGCCTGAGCACTGTCCCTCAGCTCTTCAGCTCAAGGCTAGTGCCCTACCACTTAAGCCACAGTACCACTTCCGGCTTTTTTTCTTTTTGCTTATGTGGTGCTGAGGAATCGAACCCAGGGCCTCAGGCATGCAAGGCAAGCGCTCTACCACTGAGCCAACTTCCCAGCCCTCAAATGTTTAAATTCTTGATACCCAAACCTAACTTTAGAAAAGTTGTGTCATACCTTAATAACTAAAACCTAAGCTAGTTTTATAATTCTTTATACCCTCGCATTGATTCATTTTTATTCACATCACTTATCCCTTTATTTTGTTTAGTGTGATATAAGATCTTTGAGGACAAGGTGATCTGTTTTGTTTATTGTATTTTGCGCCTAAAATAGCAGTGTGAGCATTAGATATATACTTGGTCATTTGTGAATCAGTTGCGTGCTTTTCAACCAATAAGCTTTGCAGCTCGATCCTACTTTCCATATACTTAGAATAGGCCTTTATAATTTTAAGGCATTTAATACAAGTAAAATGCCACCATTAGTTTTTTTAAAAAAAGTATATATCTCTGAAAAAGATTTACTAAGTTCCAAGGCTGGTTGGACTAAGGGAAAATATGTACTGTTTCTTTGATTTTTCTAGTCCTGCTTTTTTTTTTCTTCCCAAGGCACATGACAAAAACTAGAAAATTTTCCCCAAGGCACATCACAGAAACTAAATTTACACTACTATCTTCCCTATCTTTCTACCTTGGCTTTGGCCATAAAATTTTTTCACTCTGTCTGACATCAGGCCTACCTAATAGCCCAGGAGGAAGGAATGCTGTACAAAGGGCCAAAAATCTGAACAGACAGGCCTAGCTGGGTTTCACCACTCAGCCTGCTGGCATTAGATCATAACCCTTTTTGTCCAATCATATTTCTACAGGGCTGTCTATGCTTCAATCATTCTCATGCAAGAATCTCAATAACAGAATGCAGGGCTTGGGGTTTCTGGGCAGCTGACTATATGGAGGCTTGTAGGAAGGTAAATAAGAACTCATTCATGTGCCAGGAGTTGGCACATCCCATTTCTATGTGAACAGAAAATCTTGCACTTAGGACCCTTCTAGACATTGCCCTACATAGCTTTTAACTGGCTGCTCATTTGTATCCTTTAAAATAGCCTTCATAGCCAGGCATCAGTGATTCATGCCTATAATCCTAGCTTCTCAGGAGGCTAAGATCTGAGAATGGCGATTTAAAGGCAGCCCTGGCAAGAAAGCCCACAAGACTGTTAGCACCAAAAAACCAGAAGTGAAGCTGTGGCTCAAGTGGTAGAGCACCAGGCTCTAAGTTCAAGTCCCAGCTGGTGTGTGTGTGCATGCGCTCACACACACACACACACACACACACACACACACAAACACACGTCCTTTATAATCATGTATATCTAATGTTTCCTTGTTCACTGCAAGCTGCTCTAGCAAATTGATCTAGTATGAGAGAATCATAGAAACCTCAATTCACAGCTAGGAGCAGATGTTCTAAATGTGTGACTAGCATCTGAAGTGGGAGGCAGTCTGGTGGGACTAGACCCTCAAGCTATGGATTTTTGCCTCTGCCTCTAGGAAGACATTGTCAGAAGTAAATTGGATGGGAGGGTGTCCACCATGTATCTTCTACAGAAATGAGTGCTTGCTGCTGATGGGAAGAAATTCATCCACATTCTGGAATCATAGAAACCATCTGTTGTCAGCATCTAATAGGCAAAACACCATTTTCTTCCTGTATCTGTAGAATTACCATATAATAATCTTAAGGATTTACTAATGTTTATGAGTAATAGTTGATATTTGAGAGTAGAAGGACAATTCAGTTTTCTTCCTTAAATTATTTTGTTTCTGAATTTGTATGTTGAGAAAAATAATTTATGTGTACTAGAAGGCAAATTCAAAATGGCAATGAAAATAGTTCAGAATCCTTGAATACTTTTAGATCTAGTCTAGCCTGTATCTGTACAGGTATCCTGGAGCCAGCAAAATATCCTAATAACAAAGTATGTCCAAGTACTAAATTCAATTGTGCTAGGCAGGTGACTTGAAGTGTTAGTGACATCATAAGATTTAGCTTTTAGGAGTTAAAATGTGTTGCTTACATTGAGTCAGGTGACTCTGGAATTGTTACAAGTGCTGGTACATGCATATCCATACGGTTAACATACGAGAGTTAGAAGGAATATGAGTTTGAGGCCAGCACTGGCTACATAGTAAGACTGTAATGGGGAGTGGCGGGGGGGGGGGGGGGGGGGGGGCGGGGGAGAGCTAGTACAAATAAGCAGGGAGACCAATATAGTTCATATTACTTATGAAACAGACAGAATTTTTTAAAGTATACTGGTCCTTAAAGGTAGAATTACAATCAGTGCCAAAAATTTAAAATTCCATCATATCCAATACAAAAACTCAAAATCCTTTAATAAAAAACAAAAAGGGTAAAATTGGTTGCTAGGATTTTCAGTCTGACTTAAAGAATATAAAATATGCATCCAGAATAAAAATATATTAAATTCCTAAGATTTTAAGGACCATAAATTAATTGAGGATGTTATCCATATTTTCTTGAACCAATTAATGCCTTTTATGAGGTGGACATATTGGTACCTTTTTGGCACCATGTCATTAAAAAACAAACAAATATCCTGAACCAGGAAAGAAACTCTAGTTTGAGTATAATTGTTCATAGAGATTCCCTTCCCATTATCCTTTCAAACAACCAGAAATGCCTTCAAATTTCACCTTTAACCCAGCAGTTACATATTAATGGAAGAATTCTATTTGCTAAGCATTAAATTAAAATGTTACAATAATTTTTAGTCCTCTAGAGCTTTAGTCTCAGCAATCTGTAATTTCTTATGACTTTTTATAGGCTAAGATATTCCAACAGTAAATCTATTATAAGATTAAACATTAAATCTATTATTTCAATTTATTGTTCCATAATTAATAACATAAAAAGAATTTCTCCAAAGAAGCTTAAAATACAACATTAATGTAGCAAAATTCTAATCTTAAAGAGGAAACACTCAGTTTTCTTCTGAATTCATTTCTCCATAAGACCAATTCTTAAGGATTTCTGGAGTCTAGCTATGTTGGCATCCAAAGCTGCCAGGCCATTTCTGAAGTCTTGTTCATCATGAGAAGTGAACGTTGAGAAAGAAGAGATGCTCCAGTCTGACATCAAGTCAGAATTTAAACAGCTGTCATCGCAAACAGCATTAGCATTGCCTTTCCTTTGAACACTGGTAGCATGACAAACTGCTGGACTGTGATGTGCAGTCTGGTCCTTTGTGTCCTCAGTGGCAGCAGGAATCTTACCAATTGCTTCCTTTATTTTCTTGAGGAGCTCTATGTCTTCCATATCAGCTGTGCTGGAAAGGTTTGGATGTACATCTTCTGCTTCGTTTTTTGAAGAATCAACTGCAGGTGCACACAGTTTATTTTTTGTTTCAGAGATAAATGTACTGTTGCTGACTAGTTGTGTTGCAGAAACACTTATCTTGGGCTGAGGGGAGACTCTTTTAGGAAGTGGTGAATGCTTTTTAGAAGTGCTTCTAGCCAAAGGAATATAAATTGTATTATCCAAATTACACCCTTCAATTAAAGTCATGGTTTCACATTCCACATCAGAACCCTGTTTTGAAAGGATAGAAAGATTCCCAGGTACAGATATTCCCTCCATGGCACTAGTGTCATTATGTGGAAGGCCTTTGGGAGGCAGAACATTTTCATAAGGACTATTTAGATCTATGGTTTCCTCATTCTTAATTGTAGAAAGTAGATTTGAATGTACAAAGCTGTTATTTGTTTCTAATTTATTTAGGTAGCTCATTATGGAAGTGTGAAGAGGGGCTGGATTCTGTTCAAGTTGCTTATCATAAATGTTCAGAAGTGATCTGGTAAGGTTATTCCCAGGCTTGCAACGAGCAGTGTCCACACTAAGATCTGAGAGCAGCTTTGCCATGCTATTCTGTAAAGTTCTGCCAAGAAGAATTTAGTGGCATAATTATCAAAATTTTACCTGTTTCAGTCATTAATTTATATATATGTCTCCAATCTTTAAAAAACAACGATTTGAAACAAGTGTCTGATTCTTAATATGAACCTAGCTATAAAAAGCACAAAATCAGGCAACATGCTCTGGTAAGAGTAAACTAAAATAACAAGTGGTCTTTAAAAAATGTTGGATTTCAGAAAATCTATAAAGGTTCATAATATTTTTCTCTTGAGGAACAGAATGACTTATTCTTGAGCAACACTGCAAACAATCACTGAGTAAAGACAAAAAAGAAAACCAACCTAATAGTGGTAAGCTAAGATACAAAGCAAAATGGAAAATCCACTACTCATTTGCACTGCAATCTAGTAAAAATTATTTCCTTCTATTCAAAATGCAAAGGATGCTGGAACAATACTGGAAAAAAGTGGATGGTTATAGACAATTATCTGTCATAATTAGGTAATAACAGGAAGCATCAGAAGAGTACACTAGAAGGAAAACCACATAGGTTTAGAAGTTAGACAGCATGGAACTAAATCCTACTACTATCATTAACTATGATCTTCGGCAAGTTATTTGTTCTTTCTGAATCTCAGTTTCCTATGTCAAGCTCCTCTCTGAATTATTACAAACTAGAAATTTCTTTCCTAAGAGATTATTTAAACAACAGGTACAAAAGCAAACATGGAATGTCTAAGGTTGACTATAGAGATTGGATGATGACCATGCAGATTTGGCTGTATTGTCAAGACTTTACTGCTTTACCTTCTAATGTTAAAGTGGTTATACCAATCCAACTGGTACTTGAGATGTTCCCAAATGATTAAATGCAAAAGATGCTACCAAACACACTATAAATTACCAGCATGGATCAATTTAGGTACAATTAAGTTCAAAGTTTAAGCTTTTAAATTTAAAACACAAAGCAAAAATTAACATCAACAAATACATGTGGCACTTTAAAGCTGTTGTTGAGTCTTCAGAAAAACAGGTGCTACTAAACATATTTAATATTTGTGAGACTGTAGTAAATCTACCCATTATGATTTCATAGTCATTTAAACAGTGCAATTAATCACCCAAGAGGCAGGATGTGGCTAGCATAAAAGAGGTTTTTAAAAAAATGGAAAAGAACTGACAAGAGAATTCTTGAGTTGTAAAAAGAGACCAATAATATGTATCTAACATTTTAGACATTAGACAATTCTCTAAGAATTGGTTCCCTTCTCTTTCTACATTAGGTTAAATTTTAAGAAAAGGAAGGCTACAATCGCAAGCAAATTTGTTTTCATTCCTAACAAACAAATGAAAAGGCAGGCAGATCCTTTGAAAGAATAAAGAAGAACAATTGTGTCTTCTACAACATAGAAGACTCCCGCAATAATGGATCATCTTCAGAGAGGCAGTCTTTTACAAACTAGGGAAGCAAAGCTGAAGAGAGAATGAAAATTCTCGCTCAGGTTACAGCCCAGGACATCAGGTGAGTTTATTCCTTTAGACTTCCATGTGTATTTATGGTTAGAATAATTAAACTAATACTCACTCTGAAAGATTTCTTTTTTTGTTACCAAATTTCTTGGTAAGTGCTTTGTACATGCTGAGTAAAAGAAACTTGAGTTTGATCACAGTACACTGTATGTGTGTATGAAAATAAAACCATTGGGACCCCTCCTGTGGAATTAATATATGCTAATAAAAAGCTTAAAACACACACATACATAGAACATAACATTTAAGAAATGTTTGTTAAATAAACAAATAAGCAAACATCCATCCATTCATCTAGCTCAGATGAAAAATGCTAAGGTTTTCAACATAGTTCATTTTTCTACAACTGAGATGGGAAAAATTAGGAGCGAACAAAGGAATTTCCAATAGGAAATTACATTTCCAATAGAAAGTGTACTCTGCCTGACTTATGCGAATGTAACCCGTTTTTAACATTTTCAAATAAAAATAAAACAACAATAAACGAAATGCTAACAAAGAATCAATCTACTGACACACTGCCATCTTCCCAATACTACAAGCCTACAAGCTCTTTAATGCCATTCTAAAGTAGTATCACTTCATACACGGTGAACACACCTTGCTAGTAGCCTTTATTCACGCCTTCTATGATCTTCTGATTACCCAGTTCTACAAAACTGCACATACTACACTCCAAGTTTCAGTCCCAGTAGAACTATTGTAGGTTTATAATACTCTCTCTGTGTTTAAAATTTCTCCTTGTTTTAAAAATGTGATCCTAAAAAACGATTGCATATATATTTGAGACTGTGATTAGTGTGACAATGAAGATAGAGAAAAAAAATCAGAAAACATTGTCAATTGTCTGAGGACTTTAATACGCAGACATGAAACTTTTCATGCGTTAACTTTTAAAGCTTTTATCTTTGAATCATACTGCAATTTTATTTTTTATTTTTTCTCTAAGCAGAATAATTTAATATACATCTAGAATTTTTGTATTGCTTTTAGAATCTATTGGCAAATGTTTATTTTCTTAACAAGTTTGGTTAAGAATCAAATGATAATATTAATATCCACAAATGAACTAGTAATTAAACTTTTTAAAAAACATATTTGTATGTTATAAAGTTCGATTCTACTTTGTAAATTAGTATTACAATATTATATGCATGCATTCTTTGAAAAAAATCACACACAAAATAAAAGCTTTGTTCAAGTTAAAAAAATTAAAAATGCCCATGTAATTGTAAACCCTCTGTACAGTATTTTCACAATAAAAAAAATTAAAAATGCTAAGGTTTAACTGGGTGCTAGTGGCTCTTGCCTGTAATCCTAGATTCTAGGTTTCAAGAGGCTGAGATCTGACAACCAAGGTTTGAAGTAAAAGTCCATGAGACTCTTAAATTAACCATCTAAACACTAGAGGTGGAAGTGTGGGTTCAAGTGCTACAGATCTAGCCTTGAGTGAAAAAGCTAAGAGACAGTGCAAAGGCCCTGAGTACTGGCAGGCATGCACGCACGCACGCACGCACGCACGCACACACACGCACACACACACACACGCACACACACGCACACACACACGCACACACACACACACACACACACACACAAAAGCTAAGGTTTAATTAGACTCAATTAGGAATAAAGCTGTCACCAGAAATAAACTATTTATCAAAAACCATGTGTGAGAAAGAAAATGTAGCTAGAACTAAGGAGATGAGATTTCTAAGCCCAGCTCTGGCATTAACTTAGTAGCCTTACTAGCCTTAGTTTTCCCATCTATTTTTCCCTTCAGACAAGAGAACAAATCAAAATAACAAATATGGAAAAGACTTGGAAAAATAATCAAAGCATTTTATAAATAAGATAGTTGTGATTCCATATGCATCAAAAGAAGGAAAGAGAAACACCAAGAAACTAATACAGATTCTGCCCGGAATTGAACACCACACCCTGTGGAGCCAGGAAGGTGTGCTCTAATGGCATTTGGCTACACTGACTTATTTTCTTTTCCTCCAAGCACCAGTAATGATTGCACAGTAAGGATACAGAATTATTAGCCACCCTGATATGTGGTTCATATCAACATTATATACATATATTGAAATACCAAATTATAGGTCAGAAATATGTATAACTATTATGTGTTCCTCAAAAAATTAAAAAATATTTGAAATATAAAAATATAAATGTTAACTATTCTGTTTCACCATCACAGTTTTATTAATCTGTCACACTACACTCTATAAATTTGTATGGTTAATCAAAATATTCATAACATTTTCTAAATATTTCCTCAGCCTCAGAATTAGGACTTTTTTTTAAAATTGGTTTATCTCAGTACTGAGCACATTTTCCACTTAGAAAAGGTCTATCAAAATATAACCCATTGGGGGAGGAGAGGTCAGAGGGGAAGGCAAATGGAAGAAAAATGAGAGATGGGGTAATAATGTTCAACAAGAAATGTACTCATCACCTTACTTACGTAACTGTAACCCCTCTGTACATGACCTTTATATTTAAATTAAATTAAAAATATATAACCCTTTGCAAAGTCAAGGAACATCTGTATTTCTTTCTCTTGCCAAATTGCTCTGAGTAGGACATACGGTACCACCTTTAAGGATTGGTACGAGTTTATAACCTTGTCTTGTTCCTCACTCTGAAGGAAGTTTTCTAATTTTTCCCTATTAGGTATGATGTTAGCTTGTCATGTATGACTTTCATTGTGATAAAACGATTCTTTCTGTACCTAATCTGTTGTTTTTTAATCATGAAAAGGTGTTGAATTTCTCTGCAGCTATTAAGATAATCATATGGTTTTTAATCTTTTATTTTGTTAATGTGTGATTTATTGAATTTACTGGTAGAGATCCTGTTATAAGTTTGAAGAAAACTACTCTATTAAATGTAAAAAAAAGATTTTGTATTAACATTATTTTGTTTATAAAACAATTAAAATAAAATAATAAAACAATAAAACAAAAAAAATTAGTAATTGAGTGAGTATATATATGCATATATATTACTGCCTTGTCTGCTTCCCTCAAGATTATAATTCAAAATGGATCTATAAACTGAGGATATAGACTATTTTATATGTAAAACTTTTATATTTTTTTTCTTCTTTTTAGATTATTTATATTTGGAATTATGTACTTCTAGGATCATTTAAAGGCAGGATCAGATCTGATTTTTTCAGGCTTAAAATAACTAACTTTTCTGGGATTTAAAAACATTGTTAGAAATCTAATTCTTAACACATCTCAAAAGAAAACTAGGGGGAGCGGGGGGGGGGGGGGGAGGATGGGAAGGGATGGGAAGGGGAAACAAAGGAGAAGGCTACAATGCTTGATAAGAAAAGTACTCATTATCTTGCCCATGTAGTTGTAACCCCTCTGTACAGTATTTTCACAATAAAAAATAAATAAAAATTAAAAAAAAGAAAACTGAACTGTGTGAAGACAGTAGTTTTACTTATTTGAAAAAAGACTGGCTAAAGAACAAACATATTATGAGGATTTCCTGCCAACTCATTTTTTTTTTAATTGATAAAATGAAGAAAATGAGTGTCAAAGAGATTTGAATGACTTACTCAAGACCAAATAGCATGAGAACTTAGAAAGCTAAATGCTCTTCTTGAATTATTTTTTAGTTTCCTGAACAACCTTACATACCTACTTTACAAATCAGGTTTAAGAAAGGTAAAATAATTTATTCAAAGTTGTTCAGATAATATGCAACAGACCTGAGATTCTATTTAGGACTCTCAGACTTCAGAACCAGAGAGTTTAACCATTTTGTTATATAATGGAAATCTGTTACTTAAGAGTTACAGTTTAAAAAAACAGTTAGACATGTTTAAAACAGGAGAAAGCATTAGCAATTACAGAAAGAAACACTGGCAAAATAAGAGAAAAGGATACAGGAAAGAGAGCAGATTTGACCTTATTTGAACTTTACAAATGCAAAAGCTGGGTTGTGGAAGTCAATTTTACCTGGTTAATTCTCTCAATCGAGTTACCTCGGCATCACGCTGGCGTAGTGTTATTCCCAATATCTTATTTTCTTTTTCAGCAGTTTCTAACTTAAACTGGGAGTTTTTCACATTGACCAGGGCTTCTTCCAATTCTAAAACAACAAGAAAGTTTTCAGTTTTTTTCTTTTTAAAATGTGACTAGAACCGTAGTCCAAACACATACCAATTTTTATCCTTGTCATTTCAATGTCAAATTGCTGTTTATTTTCAAGAAGAGTTTGATCTTTGTCTTTAAATAAACTAGTAAATTTTTTATTTTCATCTTTTTGATTTTCAATCACTTTTAAGAGCTCTTCATTTTTACTCTGTAGTAATTCCTGACTCTTTATTGACTCCTGCAATTGATTTTGTAGTGACATGTTCAATGACTGAAGAGAAAACACTGTAAGACAAAACAGATCAAATAGTAATTTCCCAATATTAAAAGACTGCAAAAGATTTGTTTTTAGAAAAAGCAAGCCCTAAAATTTGATTTTAATCATGTGCATTATGTTCTAAATAAATACTACATGCATTTTCAAGTCATTGGCAGAAGTCATGCTTTTCTTCTCCAACTGATACTTTCTAAGCATTATTTTTACCTTTTTAAATTAAAAGATAATATATGTGCAAAGCAAATAATTCAAGTGTCATAAAGTGCCAATGACACCCTATGATTCCCTCACTGTGCCCTGGCTCTACTATTATTAACAATAATTATTGTTAATTTTTATTATTTGTCCAGAAAACACTTCTATATATAATATTTTATATAAAAATGCATATATTTAGCCAGATGCTGATGGCTCATGCCTGCAATACTAGCTACTCAGGAGGCTGAGATCTGAGGATCGCAGTTCAAAGCCAGCCTAAGCAGAAAAGTCCGTGAGACTCTTATCTCCAATTAGCCACCAGAAAACTGTGGTTCAAGTGGTAGAGCACTCACCTTGAGCTCAGGGACATTGCCTAGGCTCAGAGTTCAAGCCCATGACCAACAAAATTTTTTTAAATAAAAAAAAATAAATGCATATATTTAAATATAAAAGAATCATATTATACTCACAAGTTCTCATCTTTTTTTTTTTTTTCCTGTCAGACTGCTAGAGACCTATCACATTGTTTCTATATGTAAGGTACTGTATTAGAACATGGTTTTACAGAAGTAATCAGACACGGTCCCAGTTCTAAACAAGTATTTACAAATAGTAATAAATATACTAAAATAAGAAGAAAACTAACAATAATGAAAGTGTACAAGAGAACAAAAAGAGAAAACCTAAACTTTTTTTGTTGTTGTGTTTTTGTCAATCGTGGGCTTGAACTCTGGGCCTGGGCGCTGTCCCAGCTCTTCAGCTCAAGGTGAACAGTGTACCACTTCAGCCACAGTTCTACTTCTGCTTTTCAGGTGGTTAATTGGAGATAAGAGTCTCACAGACTTTCCTGCCTGGGCTGGCTTTGAACTGCTATCCTCAGATCTCAGCCTTCTGAGTAGCTAGGATTACAGGCATGAGCCACTGGTGTCTGGCAGAAAATCTAAACTTATATGGGAACTATTTATCTCCCGACTTCTTCTCTTGGCCTCCTTTCTCTTACTCTCCCTCCTATCCCCATCTTTGGTTTACAGTAGAACCAGAATCATCTATCAGAAATTATAAAGTCAATATTTTCATGAAGTGATTGCGCTTCTGGATGCTCTCATTTTTCTTATTGCTTTAAAAGAGATACTTATGTATTAAGACATTAATCCTCTTGTCATGTATCAAAAAAAGAGCTATCCCTTTTGATGCTTTTTAAATGTATTTTACTATTCAGAAATTGACAAATATTGAGATTATAAAAAAAAATTCTCAACTTTTTTTCAAAACTGTTAGTTTTTTCTCTTAAGTGTTGTGATCCATAAAGACAATTTGGCAACTGATGTTTGTAGAAAAAGAAAACATCAGTGCTATTTATCATTTCCTACTAACACTTACTGGGGAGGGTGAGGAGAGAGGATAACTTGAGCCCAGGGGATTAAAACCAGCCTATACAACACTTTGAGACCTTGTCTCAAAACCAAACATAATAGAAAAAGAACATAAAGTCTATTTGGTGATATCTGTCAAAATTGCATGTGTATGCCCAGCATTTGTATCACAAATTCTATTACTATAGCCTATAAAAATGTTCCCATTACAGCTGGAGGCATGACTCAAGAGGCAGAGTGCCTGCTTAGCAACTGCTAAGGTCCTGAGCTCAAACCCCAGTACCATCAAAGCAGAGGAAAAATAAAAAGAAAGAAAGTAATAGATGTGCACAAAGACATATTAGATAAGGATTTTCATTTCATTGTTTGCACAAAAGTGAGAGTACTTTTTTCAAAATTACAAAGACATTAATATCAATCCTTACAGTTCTTTTACCTACATTCAAGATTACATTTCATAGTACCAGATGCCTTTGCAGTTATTTCTTGTTCTCTGAGTCGTTGATTCAAAATTTTCAGTTGCCTAAATGAAATAACAAAAAACTATGAATGCAAGAATATCAAGTCCATTTAAGTGTACATTTGACAGTCTATCAAAAAAGACAAAATGAAAATACACAAAGCTACCTAGTAGATCAGCAGAAGTCTACCTCAATACCCAAAACACTATCTTGAATTTTAATACAGAATACTATTCTAATTTTTTAAAAAAGACAACCCACTTAAGACAAAGGAATTAGAAATACAATTCTCTTATTAATATTTTTTCAAAGTTTGCTTACTTTCAATGGCTTATAGTATTATTCTTTTTTTTCACAAAATACACCAAAATACAAATAGGCTAGTTTCTAGTTCCTAAGGGAGACAGTATACAGTCTACAAATTAGTAGTTTGTGGTCTAAAATCAAATGGCCTTGGAGTTAACTCTGCAACTTTTAGATATAAGACCTTGCACAAATTATTTAACTTTGCTGAGACTTTCATGGAGCTGTTAGGAAGATTTAAAAAGAAAACATGTATAAAGAATAAAATGGATTAAATTTTTAAAAAAAAGAATAAAATGGGGCGGGGAGTTGTGGGGAAGGAAAGTGAGGAAAAAATGAGGGAAGGGGTAACAATGTTTTGACAAGAAATGTACTCACTACCTTATGTATGTAACTGTAACACTTCTGTACCTCACCTTTATAATAAAATTAAATATTATAAAAAGAACAAAACATTCAATAAATGTTTGTAATGTATACATTTACTATCAATTTTTTGTTGTTTCTTTTCCTTGCACTATTGAGATTTGAATTCAAGTCCTCATGCTTGTAAGGCAAGCACCTTGCCATTTGAGCTATACTTCCAGCCCTAGACTATATAATCTCCAGAAAAATAATCCTAAACAAATAAATCTTACTGTCATGATTTTGTAAGCTGCAGATCTATTAAGTTTTAGATATTTTCCAACTTGGAATACTATTTTCTTACTTTCTATCAGGTCCCTGGTAAGTACCATCTCTGACAGTGTCTATATCAACAGTAACACTTTCTTGGGACACATTCACAATGCACTGCAGAAGCACAGGAAAATGTCTCCAATTCCCTGCCAAGTACACTGATGAACAGACAAGGGACTCATCACTGAAACACTCAAAGATAACATTAATAATATATTTGCAATTTCTTTTATATTTCAAGATTAGACCAGTGGTTTGAATCTCTCTTAAGAGTATGGGGCTGGGAAGGTGGCTCAGTGGTGGAGCTCTTGCCTTGCATGCATGAGGCCCTGGGTTCGATTCCTCAGCAACACATAAGCAAAAAGAAAAAAAGCCAGAAGTGGCATTGTAGCTCAAGTGGTAGAGTGCTAGCCTTGAGCTGAAGAGCTAAGGGATAGCGCCCAGGCCCAGAGTTCAGGCCCCACGACTGGATCCCCCCCCCCAAAAAAAAGAGTATAATTACAACAAGATAGCAAAGAAGAAAAGTATACAAAAATTTAAATGAGGGCTAGGAAGGTGGCTCAGTGGTAGAGTGCTTGCCTTGCATGCATGAGGCCCTGGGTTCAATTCCTCAGCACTACATAAACAGAAAAGCTGGAAGTAGCACTGTGACTCAAGTGGTAGAGCACTAGCCTTGAGCAAAAGCAGCTCAGGGACAGTGCCCGGCCCTGAGTTCAAGCCCCAAATTGCCCCCCGCCCCGCCAAAAAAATTTAAATGATTTATTTCCTATTTCTAAGTGTGATGTTGCTACTAATAGTTAGCTACTAGCAGGGGAGAATTGTGTTACAGACATTTATATTAGGAAAAGCCATGTGTCTTATTTTATACTACAAAATGATAGGGAGATAATCAGTTCTGGTCCAAAGTATGTGAATGCACTAATATTTATCGATACTTTGTTTTTTCCCAGAAAACATATACTAGACAGAGGATTCATGAAGTAAAAGGAATTTGTATCCTCAGACAGAGACAGAGACAGAGACAGACAGACAGACAGACAGACAGACAGACAGACAGACACACACACACACACACACACACACACACACATATCAGACAACTTAGAGAATGCTAGAAATCTCTGGAAAATGGGGAAAAGTAGAATAAAGTAAGACTAAAATCAGTTTTCCAAGATAGTTCATTTGAAATCTTGTACTGGTTATGGATCTTTGCCTTATAGACAAAAAAACTTATAAAATCTTACCGTCGCAAGTGAACATTTTCACTTCTTAATGGTTGCATGGCCAGTGCTATTTCAACTTGGGTATTTATGTTTCCACTTTTTGCTAGAAGCCCAGATATGCATGCTTCCAATTCTGCTACTAACCTCTGAATTTCTGAATCCTCTACAAAAGGTGGAAATTAATAAAATCAGTATTTTAAATTGATTTTAGACAGGATTATTAAAATTGTTACTAAAAGAGAAAAAATGTGCACACTTGCTATATACTTCATTTATTTATGATCTAACAAATCACATTTTTCACTTTTCTTGTTTGCATTTGCTTACTTAGAACAGTTCTAAGAAAATTAAATTCCACAAACTAAAGACTAATCTTAAATTAGAGGACTATTTAGGATTTTTTTTTTTTTTTTCAGTTAAGTCAACTAGTGGTTGACTTACCCATCACAGGTAGTTTAGACATGTTTCCTAGTTCAGATTTACCAAAGGTCTATAGTAAACTCCTATGATGTTACACTAGGAATATTTACAGTTTAGCTTTTGATTTTGGTGCAAAAATAGTTTACGTTAGATTATCTATATGTCAAAATAATGAGTGACAGTTCCTTAAAATAGTATTTTATTTATAAAGTAGACTCAATAAAACTGACCATATTTTTATGATTTTTTAAAAATTAATTTGCATGTGGCAAACAGACACAAACCAAAGGTAAGTATTAAATCTTTTATACTTTTCCCTTCACTCCCATTCAAGCTTTTTGTGGACTAAAAATATTTAGAGCCGGGCGCTGGTGGCTCACGCCTGTAATCCTAGCTACTCAGGAGGCTGAGATCTGAGGATTGCGGTTCAAAGCCAGCCCGGGCAGGAGAGACCGTGAGACTCCTATCTCCAATAAACCACCAGAAAACCGGAAGTGGCGCTGTAGCTCAAGTGGTAGAGCGCTCGCCTTGAGCTGAAGAGCTGAGGGACAGCGCCCAGGCCCAGAGTTCAAGCCCCACGACCGACAAAAAAAAAAAATTAAAAAAAAAAAAAATTTAGAATTATGTATTAACTGATATAAAAAAGAAGCTGAAAGTATATGCAAGTTACAATATTTTATTCGACTGAAAGAATTTGTAAGATCTTGATGAGAAGTATATGCACACATTAAATAAGATGCCTAATCACTGAGCAAACTCCTCAGTCTTTGTAGAATGCTTTTTCTCACAGTCTGTGGGAACAAGGACTTTCTAGAGCTACAATCTTGGTCAAATCACTCAACTTTAAAAAAAACAATGTTTTTAAAAGAAGTATTCACTTAAATCAGCACATACTTATTAGGTAGATTAAGTATAACATGTTGTATTGATACTATATAAAACTTGTGGTGAGAATATTGAAAATCCAGAAAATGAGAAGAATATAACACATTGTTATAACTATAGTTACCATATTGTACAATTTATCTCTGGAATTTATCCCTTCTATCTAACTAAAATTTGTATCTTTTGTTTGACCCAAGCCTAGGTTTCTTCATGGTTATAGGGAAATAATAACAATACTACATTGCATTGCTGGGAAGATGAAATAAGATATTCTTCTACAAGCCTCCATTTCCTTATCTGTGAAATGGGAGACAATTATAATACTTCATAAGGTTTCTGTGAGGATCAAATAATAATGTACAGAAAATACAACACAGTGCCAAGCACATGGTTTTCAATAAGTAAAACCAAATACTGTTACTATTATTGTTGTTGTTATAATTAAATATTTGATTAAGTCGGTAGCAACAATTTTTATTAAGTAGTTGCATAAAGGAGTTAAATACCCTAAGTGGATAGTCATAATTTGAAGGTTTGAAAACAAGACAATTTGAATATACTAAAGCTGTAACTTACTATTTCCACAGTACTTTTGGATTCTGTGTGTGTCAACCAACCTGTACATGTTAAGAATTCACACAATCAAGTCTGGAAAGTACGTAACTCATTCCAAGTATAATTCATCACTTTTATGTGTATGTGTGTGTGTTATATATAAGAAAATATAAGGGTGGAAGGTGGGAAAATTGAGAGTGATAGAGGAGATGAAATTGATTGAACATACTGTAAACATGTGGAAACGTTATCAGTGAAATCATTCTCTGAATTACTAATATAAGCTGCTAATACATTTTTTAAAGTATATACATACTATACAAAAATACATATTATAAAATGAAAGTAAGTGATTACAGACTGGCTCACTCAAGAACAGTTTGACTCACTCTTGATTTAAGAGAAAAACCTTAAAAGTAAACTAAAAAAGGTATGCAAATGTTTGGGTTACTTCTCAAAAAGCTCTTTGTCAAGTACAGTTGTTGGTTATTAAAGAAATGATGGAGAAGGAATTTGAGGTTGTTTTCCCCTGCAACTTTTGTGTGTGTGTTAGTTGTGGGTCTTTTTTTTTTTTTTTCCCTGTCAGTCGTGGGGCCTGAACTCTGGGCCTGGGCTCTGTCCCTCAGCTCTTTAGCTCAAGGCTAGCGCTCTACCACTGGAGCTACAGCACCACTTCCAGTTTTTTCTGCTTATATGGTGCTTAGGAATCGAACCCAGGGCCTCATGCATGCAAGGCAAGCACTCTACCATTGAGCCACCTTCCCAGCCCTAGTTGTGGGTCTTGAACTTGGGGTCTGAGCACTGTCTCTGAGCAATTTTTGCTAAGGTTAGTGCTCTACCACTTTGAGCCACAAAGCCAATTCGGTTTTTTTGTTTGTTTTTTGTTTTTTATTTGTTTTGAGTAGTTAATTGGAGGTAAAAGTCTCATAGAGACTTTTCTACACAGGCTGGCTTCAAACCGCAATCCTCAGATCTCAGCCTCCTGAGTAAGTAGGATTACAGGTGTGAGCCACTAGTGTCCGGATTTTCCCTCAATTTTTTAAATAGCAAAGAATCAGCCTATTGTAGGAAGTTAGTCATCTTGAGGGATCATCTAAGCACTATAATTTTATCTCTATAAATTCTCTGAATCTTTTCAAAATCCATTTGGATCAAACAGAATAAATACACACTGCAAGAAGACTGAAAGTCTGATATTCTCCAGTATATTTCAAATCCGCAGGAAGGGATCAAACCTAAAAAGTAATAATATGACCAACAGAACTCATTTCCTTATCAGTTAGAAACATGGAAAGCACAATAAACTCTATGTCAATTATTTTACATTTGAATGATGGCTTGATTATACCACTGCTATTTAGTATAACACCATGTTTGAGAAAATTATAAAGAAAAATACTCATCTACCTTGTTCTGATACCAGGGCCTTGAGCTCTCCCAACAAGTAGTTTATAGTTCTAACTTTTTCAGCAGTCTGGTTCACATTTTTTGGCTTCTGTACATCTTTGACTATTTTTGCATCTTGTACATGTACATTTAAACACTTTCCTTCATTTGTGGTCTCTCCAATTTGTTCTCTGGCACATCTTTCTTCACTAGTGGCCAAGAAAGCTGGCTGTGACTGAGTGAGGCTTCCACATGTCTGAATGTCCGGGACAGTTTCTTTTCCGCAAGATGGAAACAGAGACATATGTGTCTGAAAACACTTTACTAGGTCTGCTTCTTCAGAAATTGTTTGTTGTGGCACAATCCAATTAGTAAGATTCAGCTGCTGCAATGTTGGAATATCTGCTTTTTCATTTGGGGGCAAGCTACACTGAGCTCCAGGATGGTTATTAAATGAATTTCTTGGAATATCGAGGAAGTTCACAGAAGTTGTTTTATCTTGTGGTGCAAACTTGTTATCATCCGTTTGAACTTCCTAAAGGCAAGCCAGGTTGAAAAGAAACCTTTGAACATGTGAGCACTCAATTCCAGGTACTATTTATAACAAACTAAAACAGAAATAAAATAATGTTCTAACATTAGATAACTGGTTTTTAAAAAAATATTTGTAGCTTAAAAATAAGCTATATTTATCCTGAGCACAATAAAGAACTAGTATTTTAAAGCTTAATTAAAACACTTCGCAATATGGGGACATTATAAAACTATGACTAAAACAGTATTAACAAATACATGCTTGAAATGCATCAAAAATTAATCTATTTTGGACTAAAACATTTCTACTTTGGGAAATTACCTTCTAAGAAAACAAGCTCAAGCTTATAAAAATCTTTCACAAAAATATATTGGACTGAAGATGTAGCTCAGTTATAGTATACTTTCCTAGCATAAAGAAAGCTCTGGGTTCAATCTCCAGCACTAGGAGAAAAAATACTCTACCCCATCCCCTTATAAACATGTTAGAGTGGTAGAAACTTGGCTGTTACTCAAATAGCTAGTAACAGACCATAGTATAATCATTAAATACAGAATTAACTACTTACTAATAAGGTATATATTAAAAGAAATATAATAACAATTGAGGAGCAAAATATAAAACTATTTTGTTTATAAGTCCTTCATTATTATTAAGTATTACATTAAAAAGAAAGTAACCTTAAATTTAAACACAAAATAAAATGTATATAGAGAATACAATGACTGAGAAACAGTATCACTATGGATGGTGTGATAGCAGACATTTTTTATAGATCTCTTCTCCTCTAACTTTTGTCCTTAATAATCAAATAAGTATTCTCTTTCTCTCTCTCTCTCTCTCTCTTCCTCTCTCTCTCTCTCTCCTTTTTTTTTTTTTTTTTTTTTTTTTTTGTCAGTAATGGGGCTTGAAATCAGGGCCTGGGCACTGTCCCTGAGTTTTTGCTCAAGGTTAGTGCCCTCCTACTTTGAACCACAGTGCCACTTCCAGTTTTCTGGTGGTTAATTGGGAGTCTCAAGGGCTTTCCTGCCCAGGCTGTCTTATGGGTTACCAGGATTACAGGTGTGAGCCACCGGAACCCACCTGAGTATTTTCTAATTTAAAAAAAAAATGAAAAAATAAAGTCTTTACACCCTAATATGTTAAAAATCCAATCAGTAAATTCAATATGCCACTCCTATGATAATTACTCATACAGTATATGAAGTACCTACAGAATGAACCAATGGAAGGCAAGGTGGCCGCTGAGGTGAACAGGCTGGAGTGGAGCTACCAAAGCCACAACTAGAAAGTGCTGCTGCCTGAGATTCTAAAGGTAAGAATGTGGGGGAAAAAATCATTTACATCTCATATTGCTTATACAATAACAAAGCAATTCAATTATCACTTATATTCAATTTTCTTAAAAACATCACTCATACTAACCAGAACCAGATGGAGTATGGCAAGATACAGCAGGAATCCCATGAGGGCTTTTCTTTGAAGCCAAGTTATTCATCAGTGACATCTGAGTCTGTACATGCTCACAGAGGGCTTGGTATATTATTGGTGAGTACATTCTATAATGATCTTGTAATGACCAATTTTGCACCATATCTGATGTGTCTTTTTCATGTTTAGTCGAAGCATCTTTAGGTATCTGTTTCTTACTATCAAAAGATACTAATGTGGAAGAGGAAGAAAGTTTCAAAAACTTTTACCATAAGATCTTAAGAGGAAAAACCATTATTAGACATAGTTTAATACACTTCTATGAAGTGTATGATGTATATCACCCTGTAAAGAAAAGCAGCCCAAATATCCAAATTCTTTTAAGAGTAGATAATGAATTGATTTTCCTTAGTCAAAATCGTCTATGTTAACTTTTAAAAATCCTTTTTAAATGCTCCCTCTTTTAAAAGTCTAATGAAATTTTCACCTGCTTCTTAACCTACTTCATTCTTTCATGGGCAAATGGAATCAGGAAGAAAGTACATTCTGTAATAACATCTCTATGCTTTGTCAGTTTATAAAACACAATAAGAAAGTCAGAGCTTTGCGATAAATCAGTAAAAACAGCACAATTTATATACCACTGAAATAAACATCTTAGCTTGGCATTAGAAGTTTCTTCAAGCCTGACCCAAACCTGCTTTCTGTCTTTTCATCACTCTTACCTCAAGTTTTTCATTCTAGTCAAGCCCACTTAGATACCCAACAAGCCTTTTTTGCCTTCCTGTAACAATACTATGAATCATCCATTTCTACCCACTCACCAAGGCTTGCTTGAAAGTTTCTCTCTTCTATGAAGTTTGTTCCAATTCAACTACACTCCAACCTAGCAATTGTTCTTCACTATCCCAAAGCACATACTGTCTATTTAAATCATGTATACCATTGTCCTACATTGCTAAAGTCCTCTCTGTGACTGAACTATAAGCTTCTCTAGACAGCGAAGTATTTTACACTTTATTATTTCCTTCACTAATCATCATACAAAACACAAATATGTTATTTGTTGTTTTTTTTTGTTGATCATGGGGCTCAAACTCTGGGCTTGGGCGCTATCCCTCAGCTCTTCAGCTCAAGGCAAGCGCTCTACCGCTTGAGCCACAGCGCCACTTCCAGTTTATTGGAGATAAGAGTCTCACGGACTTTCCTTGCTCGGGTTGGCTTTTAACCATGATCCTCAGATCTCAGCCTCCTGAGTAGCTAGGATTACAGGCGCGAGCCACCGGTGCCCGGCTACAAATATGTTATTAATAAACTAATACGTGAAAAAAATTTCAACATAGCATTGTTCTATTTATTATTTCCCTCACTAATCATCATACAAAACACAAATATGTTATTAATAAACTCATAAGTGAAAAAATTTCCAACATAGCATTGTTCTATAGATTACAATAGCCATGTGTTGGTGGTTTACACCTGTAATCCCAGCTTCTTGGGAGGCTGAGATCTGAGGACTACAGTTTGAAGCCAGAGTGGGTAGGAAAGTCTATGAGACTCTTATTTCCAATTAACCACACACAAAAAAGCTGGAAGTAGAGTTGTGGCTCAAGTGGTAGAGCACCTAGCCTTGAGCAAAAAAAAAACCCCAAAAGTCAGGGACAGTACCCAGGCCCTGAGTTCAAGACCCAGGACTGGCACAAAAATCAATAGGTTAATAAAATATATATTAGAATAGAAATACAAATTTGATTTCCCTGCCTAATAAGATTTCTTCTCTAAATGAAGGCTCAACACTATAACAAAAAATGAGTACCCTGGCAGATCATAGGTCATTAGAGTAAATAATAAATAGAAAAGTATACAGTATATATATATATATATAGTATATATATATATATACTATATATATATATAAAATATATATATAGTATATATATATATATATATATATATATAAAGTATATAGTATCTACTGAAGCCAAGCATACTGGTAATCTATGTCACTCCCATGTATATGCCTAACAGAAATGAATGCTTATGTCTCTTAAAAGATGTGTGCTAGCTGAGTAACCTTGAGCAAATTTTCATCTTAATCTCTCTTTTCACTAGAAAAAAAAATGGTCATAAATAAAAAGACTATCATTTCTCCAGAGCACAGTGATTTCGCAGCTGGCTAGGAGATTTCTAAAATCTGCCACTGCCAAAAGGAGAGGCCTGATCTCTAAGCTGACTTCATACTGTTACTTCTGTGCAGGTATTTCTGAGATCACAGACATACCCATAAGTCATCCAAAAAGAACCCACTTGCTCTGTCTGTCTGTCTAGACTACCTTATAAACCCAGTCACCACAGGCTGTGGACACAGCTTTTGCAGGCTCTGTCTCTATGCTGGGAAGAAGCCCAAACTCCTGTCTGTAGCCCACTATGTAGGGAACATCACAGCAGAAACTTCAGAACCAATACTCTACAGAATTTGATGTCTGTTACCAGAAAAGCCAGTTTGAGGTGATGCCTGAGCTCTGGGGAACATGTGTGCAAATCAAAAGGAGACATTGAAGATCTATGAAGAGGATAAGCACTTTCTCTGTTCTCCTCTAACTCTCACAAGCACTAGGATCATAGCCACTAAGAGTATCAGGAGAAACTCTTAAAAGAAAGATCATTATAGAAGTTTCTGTCAATAATGCAACAAGGAATCACAAAATCATGCTATTTGAGGATGCTGTTTATAGATATGACCACAGATGCATCTCTGAATTCTCACAGATAAAATTATTTTGCTGTATGGGGAACTCAGGGCTTCACCTCAAGGAAATATTACTGTAAGTTGGATATGAACAACTCTTGGGGACTGAGCTCCATGAGTCTTTAGAGATTCCGGGATAAGGAAGACTCCAAACTGATTGAATAGGAGGGCATATTCCATCTTATAAGAAGCAGGATAACCATTGTGTCTCTTGATCACTTCTCTAATGTTTCCTCACTAGAGAGAGAAACCTCTGGGCTAGGTTGATTTGTTCCTTGATTATAAGAGTGGAAGGAGGGCTGGGAAGGTGGCTCAGTGGTAGAGTGCTTGCCTCACATGCATGAGGCCCTGGGTTCGATTCCTCAGCACCATATAAGCAGAAAAAAAGCTGGAAATGGCTCTGTGGTTCAAGTGGTAGAGTGCTAGCCTTGAGCTGAAGAGCTGAGGGACAGTGCCCAGCCCAGAGTTCAGGCCCCACGATCAACAACAACAACAACAAAAAAAAAAAAATAGAAGGAGCTTTTTGAATATTGTCAAGAGTTCTCTTACATTGAGGTACCCTGCTAGCTCCTTCAATTTCCTTGTCAGGTTAATTAAGGATGTCAAGAACCTAACAGTATGTCTGGGAACTGTATATCTGATAGAACCCTTCTCAGTTGAAGGGTTATCTAAGGGTTATCAACTGCCTTTTTCTATTCTAATGTAACCTTATTTTGTTATTAAATATGAAGATAAAGTAAAATGAAATATAAAAGAATACCTACTTCAGAAGATTGCTGCACAGTAAAATAATATTTCAAAGTTACTATGTAACGTGCAGCATATCGTAAAAACTCAACACATTGATCACCAAATAGTTGCAGATTCAGGGTAGACAAATATTTTATATTCATAAATCATGCTATTTTACAATATAGCTCCAAATATGTTTCCCAAAAGTAATTAAAACCCAAAGCAAATATAACTACTTTTACTATCTTAATGGATATAAATGAGCAACAACAAAACTGGTTAATAAATTTTGGTAAGTATTCATTCTTATTGGAAAAATAATTTTAAAATAAATCAAATGGAAAAGTACCTGTAAAATATCTTAACTGTGAAACTTAAGAGTGGAGGGGCAAATCATATCCTTTTGCTGTCAGCATATTGCTAGCCCGGTTCTTAGATCTCTCTTCCATTCTTGGATTTCCTTTGGTCCCTTAGATAAGAACAGTCTAATTCAAGGAATTCTCTAATTTCATACTCACAGTCCCAGGCAGTGGTTCTCATTTACCTTCTTTCCAAGTAATAGTTTTTATGGTATCTCATCAAATTGAGTTATGTACTGTATTATATCTCTGCCAGCAGATGTCATAATCCAATATAAAATAATAAACTCTCTAATAATATTTCTTAAAAATCAAAGCCTCCGAATTAAAAAAAACAAACAAACCCTAAGCTCCTTTATAAACTTAGTTCACATGTAACTCTACTGATGTTGAATTTTCTACTACAGGTATAAAGTCTTAAATAATCCAAGACAAATTGAAAAACCATAAACAGACATAAAAGAAAGACTGCATTTATGTTACTACTATTACGTTTTAAAACACACACACATACACACAAAACACCAACAAAATGAATCTGCCAATACACCAACACAAATAACACAAATGAAATAAATATTCTTGCTCTTATTAATTAATGACACCAAAGCACCTTCCATGAAAGTTTTACCTAACAGATCAAGATCACAATATGTTTCATTAGGTCTTAATTGACTAGAATTCATGAAAGGGATGCATTCATTTACTCAGTCTGTCCATGAAACCTTTCTAGCCTATGAATTCTGGATGGCATATAAGCAGTGACTATTGAGTGGATGTATAAGCATCATTTGACACGTAAGTGCTGCCATACAAAAAGCAAATGTGGATAGTGTAGAAAAGAGCTACTGGAAGTCTGCTTTGATTTGAAATATGTAACAATTACTTCTGGCCTTAGTAGGGCTTTTCTCAATGTCATTCTGAGTTTGAACCTTTTCTGTGGCAAACACAGCTAAAAATATCTTTTACTTTTCTTCTTAGGAAAATGACAGTATAAGCCAAATGACTGCTAAGTAATCAGACGCTGAATAATGAAAGCAAAGCACACATACAACTAAAATAAAAAGATTTTAAATGAAAGACATCATAATCCTGACAATTTATCAATATCTCCAGAATTAAGGATTACCTTTAAATAAACAAGAAAAATGCTTACATATTTCTTTCCGAACTACCGAAGGAACAATATGTTTTTCACGTCTTTTCTGTTTAGAATCACATATTTTGCTTTCTGAAAGTCTTGAATTAGATTTGTTTTCTGAATATACTGCTTCTGAACCTATAATAATGAAAATAAAAATTTAGTAACATTTGAAAGAACTATTTCACTGAGAAAAGGTGACCAAAGAAACATTTTAAAACACAAGACCTGAATCTTCATTGTTCAAAATGTCCTGCAGCAAAGAAGCACAACCATCAAGTCCCCGTACAGGTCTAGCCTGTGACGAAAACATCAATTAGAATACATTTGTATGTAAAATGGCAATGCAAGGAAAACACAGATATTACAAAGTTTAATTATATTATTTGTAAATAATTTAGTATTGATAAACACTTAAAACAATAGACTTTCTACTTCCTTAGGGCAACTGATATTTTACCTTAGTATTGTTTCTACTTAGTTTTCACCTGAAAACTAAAATAGTGTGTATTCTACCTATTCAGTTTAATCTTACCTGTCTTCCTAAATCAGGACCAGGACAGCCAGAATCTGCATTAAGGCATGATACTTTTCTTAAATGGGTTCTAGAAAACAAGATGAATATTCTTAAGTAACACAGCCTTTTTTTCTCTACATGTTAGTAAGCAGTCATTGTCTTTTCAGTAAAAGTTAGAGAAAAACAAGATGATCTAAGTATATTTAGAATGGCTAGGATAGTATGAAAACAGAAAGATGGCTAAACACTAAAATGACTGATTATAGGTAGATACAAAAAGTTACTCCGCAGAACTTGTGAAGGCAGAAGCCCGTCTAAGTTTCTGGGGTAGGCAAAATGTAATCCAGCCCAAAGATCTAACATTTCTTGAGTTTTCCTAACATTATAATCTTCTTGAAGTACTTACCCTTTTTTTCCATGTGTTATTCTGGCAGATCCAGGGGGCCTTCCCAAAGATAACACCTATAATACAATATATTACAGTGGTTCTAAATATCAACTTGCTATCATTTCAAGTGCCATCTTGACAAACCTTGAAATGTCATTCCTATTTTTCCCCCACCTTCCCAAACTAGAACAGTGTATCTATCAAACAGTAACCTTTCATCCTCTCTCCACACTGCCAATAACCATTCTGTTTCTACCAATTTGACTACTATATAGTCCTCATACAAATAGTTTTTGTCTTTCTGTGACTAGCATGTCTTCAAGCTTCATCAATGTAACATGTATCAAAACTTCTCTTTGTAAGGTCGAATAAAATTCAATTGTATGTATATAGCATGTCATTTATTGTTTACGATATATCCTAAAAAATCCAAAATTACAACTCAACCTTTATGCAATAAATATGTCCCTTGTGAAACAGAAAGCAAGGAACAAAGGTATTTCGTGACTGTCATGCTAGCTATGATCAGAAGCAATCTCCTCACTTTATAATAGGGGAATTACAGTCCAATGCACACCCTGGCAAGAAGCTCAAAAATAACTAGTGCAGAAAAATGGCTAGAAGTGTGGCTCACAGTAAAGGACCTGCCTAGAGAGCAAGGAACTGAGTTCAAACCAGAGTACTGGAGGTGATCTCATATAGCAATGTTGTAAGCAAGGCACAGGTGGCCTGAAATCCTAGCTAGTCAGGGGGCTGAGATCTGAGGATCAGTTTGAAGTTAGCTTAGGTAGGAAAGTCCATGAGACATACCTAATTAACCACCAAAAAGTTGGAAGTAGAGCTGTGGACCTAGTGGTAGAATGCTAGCCTTGAGCAAAAAGCTCAGAGACAGTGCCCAGGACCTGAGTTAAAGTCCCAAAACAAGCAATGGTCTTTTTTTTTTTTTTTTTTTTTAATAAGAAAGGCTGACTTTAAAAGTAACATAGGTGGGCTATCTTTTATGTATTAAAAAGGAAAATATATGTGTTTCCTTTACATTTAACTTATATCTTGGAATATTAGAAATAGTTATAGTCATCTGTGGGAATGGAAACTAGAGTATCTAGTAGACAGAGCAATAACAGACTTTCTATGGTATAGCTTTTAATATTGTAATAATTTTGTATCCAATAAATACAATCACCAAACTGTAATTTTGAGATTTCAAAGTCTCTTATCCTTCCATCTCTATACATAGTCACTGTCTCAGTTTCATTCATATTTTGTCATGTCTACATATTTTCTCACAACACAGCTTTAAGTAATAACTACCAAACTTCCTGAAGTTATATGATACTCTATCATTTGCTTACATATGTACTTGCCCTTCTAGAAATGCTACAAGAATATATTTGTGTGTGTGTGTGTGTGTGTGTGTGTGTGTGTGTGTGTGTGTGTGTGTGTGCATGCGCGCCAATCCTTGAATTCAGGTGCAGTTCCTAAACTTTGTGCTCAAGGCTATTGCTCTACCACTTGAGCCACAACTCCACTTCCAGCTTTTTGGTGGTTAACTGTAGATAAGAGTCTCATGGACTTTACTGCCCAAGCTGGCTTTGAACTACAATTCTAAGATCTCAGTCTCCTGAGTAGCTAGGATTACAGGCATAAGCCACCAGAGTCAGGATGAGAAAATATACATACACACACACACACACACACACACACACACACACACACACACGTACATATATATATATATATATATATATATATATATTTATATAAAATTAAAGCTGAGTTGGGAAGAGTTATGCTTTGTGAAACAATTTGAGATATGAAGCATCATAAAGCCAATAGTAAGAATTAACTTTTTAGGAAATAAGGCTCCACTAATCTCTGCATCACATTTTCAGAGTTTTTCCTTTTGTTATATCTATGTTTATGCCCTGGCTGGAATCAAAATAAAAATGTAAGGTATAGCACAAGATCAAGTCCCCAAAACAAAACCTTTCAATAGATAGTTGTCTTTTAAAATAAAAGGAAAAAGGCCAGATACTGGTGGCTTACACCTGTAATCCTAGCTACTCAGGGGATTGGAAATATAGTTCAAAGTCAACCCAAGCAAAAAGTTTGCAAAAGGTCATTTCAGTCAATAGTTGGGTAGTGGTAAGTACTTGTTATCCCAGCTATACAGAAAAGCACAGAGGATCCCAGTCCAGGCCAGCCCAAGCAAAAAGCAAGACCCTATGTCAAAAATAACCAGAGCAACAAGGGGTGTAGTACTAGGAAAAAAAGAAATACATTATCTAAGAAAAATATATAGCCTAATTGTAAGATAATGGTTTCTCTCTCCCTCCCTCTCTCCATTTGGTAAAAACAAAAACAAAACAAAAAAACAAAAAAAGAAAAAGCAAACCCTCGATAAAAGCACCCTGAAACAATTTACTTTTATTTTGGGGGCTATTTTTTATTTTGAAGTACTAGTACAAAGGATTTCCTATATATGCTTCAGACAGAGTCCACAATTCTCGACATTTTACATTTGCCATATTTTCTCTGAATACACAAAATATTGTAGGTTTTTTGGGGGGAGCAGGAAGTGGGGATCTGGCCATTACAAAGTTAAGTTAGAGACAAAACATCCCTAAACACTATTCTTTACTATAACTATCAAATCAGGAAATCAACATTTATATTTATAATTTAGAGACCTTATTCACATGTTGCAGTTTCCCAATATTGTCCTTCATAGGCAAAAAGTGGTCCATGATCACAAACTGGAATAAACTCTCATAGCTCTTAAGTCTCTTTAGTATCTTTTGATCTGGAATAGTTTCTTGAGCTGCTGTTCACTGCCCTTATAATAATCTTGACATATTTAAAGAGCCAGATAATTTACAAAATGTTCCTCTGGACATTTAGATGTGTCTGATGTTTCCTTCTGATGAAACTCAGGTTATGTATTTCTGGTAGAAATGGATGTGTCATTCTCAATACAGTATACATAGACAAATGTCAGCTTATCCTGTAACTGGTGATGTAAACTGATATTAAGATGGTAATCTGCAGCCTGGTTCAAGCCTGTAATCCTAGCTACTCAGGAGGCTGAGATCTGAGGATCACAGTTCAAAACCAGCCTGGGCAGAAAAGTCCGTAAGACTTTTATCTCCAATAAACCTTTTGAAAAACGGAAGTGGAACTGTGTGGCTCAATCATTAAAGCACTGGCCTTGAGTTGAAGAATGCAGGGATAGCACCCAGGCCCAGAGTTCAAGCCCAACGACCAATCCAAAAAAAAAAAGGTATCTGCCAGGTGATCTTTTGAACAAATACCCAGAGGTGGAGTTGATTGAATCAGATGAGTACTATTTTTAAGTTTTTGTTTATTTTTTGAATCAAGGTATTACATTTGCCCAATGGTCTCAAACTTAGACTTCTCTTGCCTCAGCCTCCGAAGTGCTGGGGCTATAGATGTATGTTGCAATACCTGGCTCACTTTTAACTTTTTAGAAATTGTTATTATAAAGGTGATGTTCAGAGGGGTTACTGTTTCATAAGTCAGGTACTCATGTATTCAGTACATTTCTTTTTGGGCAATGTCACCCTTTCTTCTTTCTTTCCCAGTTTTTCCCTCCTGTCCCTGTCACTTTTAACTTGAGGAAATCTCAAACTCTTTTTTATAGCAGTTGTCTTAAGTGCTAAAGGCATGGCTTGTGGAGTGCTTGTCCAGTAAGCTGAAGGCCATAAGTACCACAGCAACTATGCTTTTTATATTCCCACCTAAAGGGTTCAATTTCTCAATATCCTTACAACATCTTTTGTTAGGTAATATCTCACTGTGGTTGTAATTTGGATTTTCCTGATTATCAGTAAGGTTGGGCATCTTTTCATATACCTGTGGGCTAAGTATACATCTTTGAAGAAAGGTGTATTCATTTGTTCATTATTTGATTCTTTTTTTTATTTGTATGCTTTTGGGTGGTAATTTGGATATTAACTCTTTTCCAGATATGTGACTTGGAAATATATATATATATATATATATATATATATATATATAGTATGTTGTATATATACATATATGTATGTTGTATATGGATGTTGTATATGGGCACACAAAACACTTCTGCCTTGGACTTACGGTTGGCCATTCCTTCAGAAGCTATTGTCCCTGGGTGTGGAGGGGGAAGGGGGGAGCAGGACTTGAACTCTGGGGCTGAACACTGTCCCTCAGCCCTTCAGCTCAAGGCTAGTACTCTACCACTTGAGTGGTTTATTCGATGGACTTTCTTGCCCCGGCTGCTTTTGAACTGTAATCCTCAGATCTCAGCCTCCTGAGTAGATAGGATTACAGGCGTGAACCTGCTTTGGTTCCTTTGATGGACAATAGTCTTTAGCAAACAAGATCTAAAGACTAGATACAATCTTTGTTATGAGGGCTTTCTATACTTTGTTCATGTGCCTTTTTTTTTTAACTTGGCTAAAATGCCTGGATAATTGCAATTTTTGATCTTGTGGGTTTTTAATCTCTGAATTTTCCTGTATTCATAGTCAACAAATCTTAATGATTTTGTTTCCTTGTGCCGAAGTAACATATTTGGCTTTCTTTCACCATTAAACCAACAGACTTGGAGCCACACTTTCTAGATAGTGAAAAATGTCTTTTCCATATTTAGGATTAAAAGCATAATTATTTGGTTCAAGGGCTGTTTGCAGCATAACGGTCTGGGCTACAAACTATAAAACTTTGCGGTGACAAGTCTCCCAAGGTAAAGATACTAATTGGAAGACTTGCATCACGATTTAAAAAAGCAGTTCAGGGCCACCCCGGGAAGGGCCAAGAGAGGCTGGCTGAGACGCGGGGACATTCTCAGGCTAGGAGACTGTCACCAGCCAGGGGTGAGGCCGGCCTGGAACCAGGCGTGACACTGGGGAACCACGACGACCGACGCCTACAGCGTCCTGGAGGTCCACGACGACCGACCCGCGGCCCACAGCGACCCACGGGCAGCCGCGCGAGGCGGGAGGCCCACGCGTTCTTACTCCGCACTGCCAACTTCTCGCGTCCCCGGCCCGCAAACCAACTCAAGCCTCTCACCACCCCCACCCCCACGGCAGACTTTTCGGGTCCGCAGCCCTCACCTGGCCCGGTCGAGATCCGGACCTGACCATTTCTCGCAGTCTCAGTAAAACACAGATGGAGAGAAGACAGGACACACTGTAAATGGAATTAACCGCCGCGGACTTCCGATCTCCCTTGGCCCGCCCCCCCGTCTTCCGCTTCCGGTAAGGTGCCCGCCGCTCGCCGCGCCCTACAGCTTGTCTCATGCTGTCATTTTTCTGACTCGGGATCCCGGGCGACCTGAGCGTGCGCAATTATTAACTCCTCCCCTCAAGGAGAGGGGCTCGTCACGTTCTGGAAGGAGAAACCAACAGAATGCACAGGGGAGGGGCGGGGCCTGAGGAGAGGGGCTAGAGAAACGGAAGGCTCGCGGGCCTGGCGGGGCCTGGCGAAAGGGGCGGGGACGGATGGGAGGGGCGAGTGAAAAGGGGCGGGGCGGAGAGCGTCCAGGTACCGCCCTGGGCGGAGCTGACGCCTGAACACCTGAGTAGATGCTCTTTTGCCAAAGGCTTCCAGTGAAGGCACTCAGTATTTCCGTCTCCTGGAAGAAGTGCGGAGCAGTGACCGTCAGCGCTTCCAGACGGATTTGGAAGCAGGCAGAGTGGCTCAAGTCCTAGCAACGGTGTGAGGCTGAGTTTCCAAGAAAGGTCAAGAGAATGATAATTGGGGTAGAGAACCAACACGTTTCGGGAAGAATTGGCTCTGCCTTTTGGTTTTTAGTTTGGAGCTTTGTGTGCTGTGTTAAATGATTTCATTCTTGATATTCAGTAAAAGCCAAACCTCGTCCAAAGTCAGACATCTTTATGTAATTCTGATGGCAATTTCAGGGTTATTCGTTGTCCCACTGATCTAGAAAGGTGCTCAATAGTTAGGATTTAGGATTTCTTTCCGTATGTCTGTCTTTCTTTCATTTCTTTCTTTCCTTCTTTCCTTCCTTCTTTCGTTCCTTCCTTCTTACTTTCCTTCCTTCTTTTCTCTTCCTTCCTTCCTTCCTCTCTCTCTCTCTCTCTCTTTCTTTCTTTTCTTTTCTTTTTTTGGTGCCCCTCAGCTCTTCAGCTCAAGGCTAGTGCTCTACCACTTGAACAACAGCGCCACTTCCGGTTTACTGAGTGGTTTATTGGACATAAGAGTCTTATGGACTTCCCAAGCTGGACTGGCTTTGAACTGTGATCCTCAGCTATCAGACTCCTGAGTAGCTAGGATTACAGGCGAGAGCCGCCGGCGCCCAGTTCCCATATGTGGTTTTCTACCTTCTGTCCAGGTGATTGTTTTTACCATTGACAAGCTACACTAAGTGTGATAGGGATTAGTTATTGGTTTTTAAGTCATCGTGTGGGATTCGTTTTTAACTTGGAGAAAAATTAAGTAACTCATTTGATTCCTGTTATTTATGTGAAAAAGAGCCTCTTTTTTAAAGTGCTGCAACTAATATTAAAATCCAGGAAGTAAACACTTTTAACCAATAAATTATATACTCCTGAGGGATTTTAAGAAATGAATATTTGGCAAAATTGCTTTTGAATTTGATTAGGTTGTGAAAATCTCACTTCAGCTAAAAGCATTGTAAAAGTTTTTAGTATATTCATCCGAGATTCCAGATCAAGATTCCAAGTCTTTAACTTGATATTTTATAATAGGTTTTTAATACATATTTGAGATATATATATATATATATTAGATACAGATTAAAAAAAGAGTACTCAATCATACTACTAGAGACTACCATTTTTTTAAGTTTGGTGCATTTCCTTGTACTATTTTTCCAACTGCATATGTGTATATTTCAAGTTGATATAATACAGATTACCATAATGTGTTTTCTTTTAACCATCTTTACATTGTTTTCTCATTAATCTACAATTACAAAATGGCTGTATAATGTTCCCTTATCCATTTCTCTGTCATTTGGAGTCTTATGCAAACTCCTTATTTTGGGTTTGGAGTGTTATTACTATTGATAATAACAGTGAGCTGAGCTCTAAAGGTGAACTTGATGAACTTGAATAATATACTATACATACACAGGACCAGGACAGCCTGATTGGTGAATGAGAGAGACTGAGTGAATATACACAGTGGAGATGGAGATGTGTGAAGGAGTCAGATTCCAAAGTCCTTATAGATTAAGAATTTGGGTTTTTTATCCCAAAGGCAAAGGAAAATTATAAAAGATTGAGCAGGGCAATGTGAACTGATGTCTCATCAAGATGGCTAACTGCAGTGTGTAGCAGGTATCCCCAGAATGCAGCCTGTGAACAAAGTCAACTGCCATTGTTGTTGAATGGTTTTAAAATATTTTTTTTTAAATCAGAAGAAGAATATCTTGTCATAAAGTTTTATTGGATCTGTTGTAGATCATAAAATCCTGAACACAATCTCCAAATACCAAAATTTGGAAAGGTCAAAAATCTCCAAAGTCTAAAATCCCCTAAATCACAATGTGAAAAGATTGATCCCAGCTGGGCACCCATGGTGCATGCCTGTAATTCTAGCGACTCAGGAGGCTGAGATCTGAGGATTGCAGTTCAAAGCCAGCCTGGGCTGGAAAGTCCATGAGACTTTTATCTCCAATTAATCACCAGAATACCAGAAGAGGCGCTGTGGCTCAAGTGGTAGAGGGCTAGCCTTGAGCTGAAGAGCTGAGCGACAGTGCCTAGGCCCAGAGTTCAAGCCCCATGACACACTAAAAGAAAAAAAAAAAAAAGATTGATCCCAAATGTTGAAATCTTGAAAGTTGAAATAGTGAGAATGGGCCATGCAAGAAAGGTACAAAAGGGTAGAAAGACAAACTTTAGGGGTGGATAAATACATTTTGGATTACATATGGTTGTATCCTGTTAGAACAGTGATTATCTAGAAACTTGACAAAACATTATTTTGAGGAGTCAGTGAGGGTGCTCCCAGAGTGAGGTTAGTGGACTAGATGGGAACCATCCACCCTCAGTGTAAGAAGGCATCAGCCATTTCTGGAACAGTCACATTCAATTTCTTTTTGTCCAGCTGTTTTTGTGCTACAATGGTAGAAATGAGTAGTTGGCACAGAGACCCTAATGGCCTGAAAAGCTGAAACTCTTTCCTATCCGGATCTTTACGGTGCACAGACCATTTGGAGGGAAGACAAGCATGGATGTTAAGTTCTTTCCCATTCCTTCCCCCATCCCCGTCCCCTATTTCCCCCCTCCACCTCCCCATCCTCCATCCCCTTTCCCCCCCACATCCTGTCTCTGACCTTCTCCTGTCCCAGGGAATGACCTGTAAGGATGATATCCAAACTTGTCTTACAGCTTGTTTTTTGTTAAATGGGTGACTTCCCAAAAAAAGGCTTTCCTTTCACCTTTATTCCTGAAAACTAGGTTGTATGCCCATAGTCTATTGTGGAATGGTGCCATTTCTCACATTTATGATGATGAATTGTTATGTAATAACATCTTCTGAAGTAGAATTTAATCTCCACAAAAAGCAAAGACCTTGCCTTATTCAGTGTTGGGTTCCCAGTTTATTACAATGCCTTGCACATAGTAGGAATTTTAAAAATATTTGAACTGACGACTGTTTTGGACTTACATGGAACATTGAGTCTGATAGCTACTTGAATGCCCAAGAGTCAGGCCAGTCCTGTAAACCTGATCTAGAGGTTTAGTCTCTGGTATCTTGAGGTATAGTCTCTTTGGTATCTTGGATGCACAACTCTACTTGTCTATCCAGTCTTTTATAATGGAGTGCATTGGACCAATGACTTTTCCAATTGGCTCACCTCTGAAGTGTGAAAGACTGTTCATGTTTGATCATATTCCAGATTATAGGAGAGAGCCAAAGTTACAAGTACATGAAGATCTAAAGTGTAAACACAGATTTATACCCAGGACGTGAGATTCAAATTTAAGAGGCTGCAAATAATGTCACATGTTTGGGAGCATGAGCTCAGTTCTGCACAGAAGGATCTGGGACTATTCTGTTACCTTTCCTTAAGACATTTGTTCCAAACCAAAGGTTTTCAACCTTTAGAGAGCATATAAAACTGTGAGGATATGCTAAAAGCTTTTTAATTTTCTCAGAAAAATGCTAATGTGCACATTTCTGAAACACTGGTATGCAATATCATCAGAAGTATACAGGAGTTGCTCCAAGAGTTTCAGGTTAAAATTCTTCTTTTAACCTCATTCAAAATCAGCCATTCATACTGAAGTTTTCAGCTCTGAGAAGTAATTGGCTAATTAGGGATGGTAGGTCCCTGGTTGAATGGCCTAAAGAGAAGGGCATGAGGCATAGTGAAAATGCAATTGAGTCATGATGTTTGCATTTTTCACCGAAGTTTTAAATGTATATGCAGCCTTCACTTTAATCAAAAAACTTAATTTAGGAAAGAAAGAGCCCACTTCTTTTTCTTTATAAAATCCTACTTTTATTGCTTCCTGAATATTTTTTTCCTTTTTAAGGGAGAAATACAAACCATCTGTTCCTAGGTTCTCCGTTTGACGGCTTAACTAGGGTCATGCTAGGATTCAGATATTGTTGGGAATGATAGGAAGGAATGGATCTAGAAGGGTCTGTTGGAGGCAAGGATCAAGAGAGCCCTTGGAATGATCTCATCATGAGGAAGAAATGGTTGGATACAACGAGCCAGGTTTGTGGGTCAGGTATGAATTTTAGTATATCACCATGTCAGTCCCTTGTTGCCTAAAGCACCCATGGACTTGTACCTGACTCAAAAGCAATAATGAATGATAAAAAATATTGAAGCAGGCCGGGAGACAGTGGCTCAGGCTCATAATCCTAGTTACTAAGGAGGCTAAGGTCTGAGGCTCGCACTTCAAAGAAAGCCTGGGCAGGAACGTCCAGGAGACTCTGATCTCCAATTAACCACCAGAAAACCAGCAGTGGCGCTGTGGCTCAAGTGGTAGAGCACTTGCCTTGAGATAAAGAGCTCAGGGACAGCGCCCAAGCCCAGAGTTCAAGCCCCACAACCAACCAAAAATAAATAAATACACAAAGAAGCAGTTTAGCCGGGAGCCGACAGCTCATGCCTATAATCCTAGCTACTCAGAAGGCTGAGAGAGCTTAGGATCACAGTTTGAAGCCAGCCCAGAGAGAAGAGGCTGTGAGACTCCTACTTCAACAAACT